ATAACTAGAGACCGGACTGATATGCATGAAAACACATCAAAAATGCACATATATATGCACAACAAATATGGCAAAAAAGCATCAAGATATGCATGAAAAATTAAATAATGCACAAACAATTATTGAAGTTTCTTTAATTCAAACTATTTAAACATAAGCTGTTTAAAACCATCTTAAAATTTATGCGCCTATTACTTAGTACGTGGTTATGTACAGAGAAACGTCTTTCCACATCGACACTACCAAGTGGAGCGTACTTTAATTGAGGTATCAGCGGAGGTTTTACATTTAAATTATCTCCAGCTTGCATTATAAATTAATAATAATAATACTAATAATGATTATAATGATTTTTTTTGTTTTGTTTTCCTACAGGAATTATTATAATGATTTTTTTTTTGGTTTGATTTCCTCTTTCCTGATAGCGTTGGCTATTGTGCCCATCAATAGGTATGTTGGTAAGTATGAATTATATACTATCCCTAGATTTCCAATGTACGTGTGTGATAATTTTTTTTTTTTTTTTGAGGACCCTACATAACTTCACCAGACACAGACACAGACACTAATCGTTACTTTTTTAATCCGTGCGATTAGTTAACCAGGCTAGACCTGAGTTCTCACAAGAAACACCGACCATAATAATAATACATTTATTGGTACAAGCCCAAAGGGTAACATGTTCAGCCAATTAATGCTGAATTGAACACCGCTGACGTTTTATAATTTGACAAACTTGGGCGCCATATTTTTTTTGTATTTCATTTATTTTTTTATTCTTTTTTTCTTATTCTATTTTTATTGTTTTCTTTTGTTCCGTTTCTATTTTATAATTTTTAGTTTATTTGATTTATTATTCGTTCATCTTTATAATTTATAAATAAAAATATAATTGTTGCAATTACTACCCCTGGAAGCTTGTTTTGTAATAAAATGGTTAAAAAAGTTAATAAAATGCTAATCTATCTTAAATATGCACAAAAACCCCAAAAATGCAAAATATGCACTATTTTCTTTGCGCCAATGTGATTCATTTTTGTTACTTCGTGTAAATTATTCTTTTATTTTGAGCTGCATACAATATTTACGTAATGCATAAAAGCATGAAATCCGGTCTCTAGTTATAATGATATGATTGGATTTGTACATTAGGAGGAAGAAGACGCCTTAAACGCAGTGGGTTATGACGACATTGGTGGTTGTAGAAAACAATTAGCACAAATTAAAGAAATGGTGGAATTACCTTTACGTCATCCTTCACTGTTCAAAGCAATTGGTGTGAAACCACCTCGCGGTATCTTACTGTACGGTCCACCCGGCACAGGAAAAACTTTAATCGCTAGAGCGGTTGCGAACGAAACAGGGGCATTTTTCTTTTTAATTAACGGTCCCGAAATTATGAGCAAGTTGGCGGGCGAATCCGAAAGCAATTTGCGCAAAGCTTTCGAAGAAGCTGATAAAAATTCGCCCGCTATCATATTCATCGACGAATTGGATGCGATAGCGCCCAAGCGTGAGAAAACTCACGGCGAAGTGGAGCGTCGTATCGTGTCTCAACTTTTAACTCTGATGGATGGCATGAAAAAGAGTTCGCATGTGATTGTAATGGCAGCCACGAATCGTCCCAATTCGATCGATCCAGCTTTACGTCGATTTGGACGGTTTGATAGAGAAATTGATATCGGCATCCCAGATGCGACGGGCCGCTTAGAAGTGCTACGTATTCATACCAAAAATATGAAGCTGGCCGACGATGTGGATCTTGAGCAGATCGCCGCGGAAACTCACGGTCATGTCGGTGCAGATCTTGCTTCTTTGTGTTCGGAATCTGCGCTTCAACAGATCCGAGAGAAGATGGATTTAATCGATTTGGAGGACGATCAAATTGACGCTGCAGTATTGAACTCGTTAGCCGTCACAATGGAGAACTTCCGTTATGCGATGACAAAGAGCAGTCCTAGCGCATTGAGAGAAACCGTGGTAGAAGTTCCTAACGTTACATGGGATGACATTGGTGGATTGGAAAATGTAAAGAAAGAGTTACAAGAGCTTGTTCAATATCCCGTTGAACATCCAGACAAATTTCTTAAATTTGGTATGCAACCATCGCGTGGTGTGTTGTTTTATGGGCCACCAGGTTGCGGTAAAACTTTGTTAGCTAAAGCTATAGCAAATGAATGCCAGGCAAATTTCATATCAGTAAAAGGTCCAGAATTGCTGACAATGTGGTTTGGTGAATCTGAAGCTAACGTTCGTGACATATTCGATAAGGCAAGATCTGCTTCTCCTTGTGTGCTTTTCTTTGACGAGTTAGATTCTATTGCCAAATCAAGAGGGGGTAACGTAGGAGATGCAGGTGGTGCAGCGGATCGCGTGATCAATCAAATCTTAACGGAGATGGATGGTATGGGTGCAAAGAAAAACGTTTTCATCATTGGAGCGACAAATAGACCTGGTAACTATCCAGTCTCGTGCTTTCTGCATTATGAATAACGTTTTTTCCAGATATTATTGATCCAGCTATTCTGCGACCAGGACGTTTAGATCAGCTGATTTATATTCCACTGCCAGATGAGAAATCACGCGAAGCTATCTTTAAGTCAAATTTGCGGAAATCTCCAGTCGCTCGTGATGTCGACCTTGGTTATATAGCTAGAGTTACCCATGGCTTTTCTGGTGCTGATTTAACAGAAATTTGTCAGCGCGCTTGTAAGCTTGCTATCCGCCAAAGTATTGAATCCGAAATTCGCAGGGAAAGAGAAAGGGCTACTAACCCCAACAGTGCTGCAATGGATGTGAGTACATTGGGCATTAAAATAAAATAAAACAAGTGAACAATGTTGTCGATTGAAAAGCAGATGGCTTTACAACTTTGTTCAATCTTTTAGTGTCAATATTACATGTATGATTTCTATTGTAGCTCGATGAAGAAGATCCAGTACCGGAAATCACAAGAGCACATTTCGAGGAGGCGATGCGGTTCGCTAGACGTTCTGTTTCAGACAACGACATACGTAAATATGAAATGTTCGCACAAACTCTACAGCAGTCACGAGGTTTTGGAACTAACTTCCGTTTTCCTACCGGCAGCGGTGGTCAGCCAACGCCTTCCATCACTGCTGGCGATCAGGGTAATTTCCAAGATGATCCAGATGATCTATATAGTTAAGCGCAGGTTGAGCTCAACATCAAATAATATATATACCCCTTTGTAACTTTATATTTATTTTCTCAATTTGCGTTCTCTACTTATTTAATTTTACATGTTTTCAGATTAAGTATTACTGATTACTGATATTTGAAAATAAATAAAATTTGTCTATATCTTATTACATTTACTGTCAAAAAAAAAATTGTCCAATCAGATAGTGGGGCAGTTTCTAAAAAAAAAAAAGAAATTATTTGCTTTGCATTTTGTATGATTGCCTTAACGTGTCTATGGTGTTGCTTGTACTTTTGGTAATTGTTAATCGTCTTGTTTACGTATGTCTACCATGCCTATTCCTTCCTTTTAATTAGTTCTTTTACACTTTTGGGTCACCATGCGGTTTGGCATTTCCTGTTTGTCACTATTCTACATGCCTTCCTTTCTGTATTTAATAAAGTGTTACTAAAGCTCCCGCATATCACAAATACATCCAGTGTGCAAGAAATAATAATAATAATCATGTATTGTCCAACAGAATATTTTCCAATAACAGGACAATGTACTTGTGTTTACACTGTACATATATGAAAATAAAAGTGTACTGTAAATATTCAAAAAGAGAACTTAAACTCAATAGAGATTCACAAAGAATAAGTTAAATGGATATAATTACTAATTATCAAATTATACAAAAAAGAAAAAAAAATGGACATGACAAGGTATATTAATCCTACAATCAAACAATAAAAAGAAAATGGCAACCAGTGAGGTGGCTGGAACCTCGCTAACCACACCGATTGCATGGCTATTATTTTGTCCACATTGTATATAATTACACTCAGTTATAATCTATTAACGCGAACTGTTTGACTGAAATTGTGTATCAATATTTCCTCTAATAATCTTGAAAACTGAGAAGATTTTGGAAACGATTGGAAAAGTCCTTTTGGCTATAATAGTTATTTACATAAAAGCCAGGAAAATCACACATTACTGGCGAGGAAATATTGAAAAGCGAGGCCCACTTTAATTTCAGAAGTAATGCCATGTTACTGACGAGTTTTGTATTAAATTTTACCTGAAATCGTATTTTAATATAACATGTCAATTTGTATATAAAACTTTTGATTAATGTCAATCTGTCAGTGCCACAGAATAAGGTCAGTGTTGACAGGAGTCATTATAAACATTTGGAAATGTCAAAAATGCGGCCGGTAAAGTGACGATGCAGCCGGTAAAGTAACAAGCGGCAGGAAACATAGTCTGCTCTGCCTCTGTCATGGAAACTAAAATTTCCTGACAGAAAGTAGACATGACAATGAAGATTTCAAGACGATTTTGGGTAAATTAATTTACCTTCATTTTCATGCCTTCTTTCTGTCAGGAAATTTTAGTTTCCATGACAGAGGCAGAGTTTCATGCCGCTTGTCACTTTACCGGCCGCACCGTCACTTTACCGGCCGCATTTTTGACATTTCCAAATGTCTATAATGACTCCTGTCAGCACTGACAGATTGACATTAATTAAAAACAAAATTTTATATTAAAATACGATTTCGGGTAAAATTTAATACAAAACTCGTCAGTAAAATGACATTGCCCGACTCGGAAATTAAAGTACTCTGGGGCCTCACACTTCAATATTCCCTCGTCAGTAATTTTCCGGACTTTTATGTAAATAACTATTATTTAATGAGGTATGTGAGCAAAAAAATTTTCATTCAGAGAAGGCCGTGTAAATTTTAGGTCACGTCTAATTAGGGCTGTCAGGTTCTTAAAATCAAACAGCGGTACACATTTTAAAAAAAGAGGGGTTACTATTTTGCTTTGTAATTTCTTAAATCGTTACTGAAATAAAAAAACTTCAAACCATTTTGTTCTTTTTTTCTATCAGATCTTAGTTAAAATGGGACGCGGAGCACGATATAAAATGAAGTTCAGAACAGAATACAATCTTGTTTCCATGGTAACGACGGGAGAACATAAGCTTGCTAGTTTGGACATCTAAATGAAATAAGTACCTACAGAATTTTCATTTTATTTCTATAATGATTTCTATGGCTTCTGCTATAAAATAAAGATTTGTGTATACAGGACGATAAAGGGAAACTAACTACATCCCTTTATCGGCTTGTGTAATAAATAACTATTTATTGATACTGATATAATTTTTTTTTAAATCGTATGCGTATGCGGACAAGTCTCTGATTTTCCATAATTTACTCATAAAGTAACACACAAATAATTTCTATCCATAGCTGACAGAATGAGACTTCACATTCACATCTTTCAAAATTCATCATGCACAAACAAACTGTCCTTTCAGATACTGTATAGGCCTTTTAACGGCGCTAACGTAGTACATCCAAAGAGTACCCATAGTTGGTACATCACTAGCATAGTTTCACACCACACAAGCTGTGGCGTGTTGTAGGTACCTACGCTACGCATAGCATTATTCGCTGAAATATAAGTACAAAATAATGTGATTGTAAGGTTAATCGATCATCCGTAAAAATCGGGATTTTTGTGTGTCGCCTAACGGCCAAGCGTGACGCCTGACAGTCCTACATCTAATATTAATTAATTATTTAGACAGGTCGCGTTCACTTGTTTGAAATTTACAATGTATTATATTTCTTATGGCAATAATTCCATGGCTGATAGTGATTGAAACCAATTTTCATTTGTTTATTGTCTCGCACAGTCACCATCGACACGGCCATAAAGAATCATTAAAAAATTTTCTAGGTGTGTGGGAAACGAGTTAGACGAATTGTTCCCTAGCCCTTCCACTATGTGTGCGCATGCGTTAATTTTACTGATGTAAAAAGGTGGTGTATTTGAAAGAAGATAACTGAAGAATCTTAGTTATTCAAAGTCTTTTGGTTATAATGCTTATGACTTTTGTAGAGAATTTAATAACCCGTCATTTTTAATTAGGTACAGATTTGGATATAGTAGAAAAAATACACAATTTTCCCAACTGTCTTTCTGACTATAAATATGCTATTTTTCTTTCAACTTCTGCGGCAAAGTTACCCAAAACATTTATTTTAATAACGCCATTTTCAAGTAGATAGATAAGTTTGTTTTCCTTTTCATGAATAGTTAGGTGTCGACCTATTCGGGGGTAAATAATGCACAAGAGCTTGATTTTTAATCGAGTAATTTTATTTTTACAAGAAAGTTCTGTTGCAACCATGGACCTTTTATTTTTTTGAAGAAGTCCGTGATTGCAACGGAAAAAAATTGTAGATCAAAAGTGTGATAAAATCGCGACAGACTTACGGGTCTTATTACTGCGTATTACGATGTGCAAAGGTACCGGGCAGAAACCAACTGTTGATTTGTTGCCGTGAATTTATACAAGAATGACATCTGTCAAGACTAGTACACATGGTGGAAAAAGATGCTATTATATTAGTGAGCATTAATACACCTTAAAATCTGCTTTAGCGATAACACAGATATACGTATCTGTAGCGATAATGTCAAACTTCGACACCTACTACTCAGACGAACCGCATAATGAGTTCTATGCTGCTACCTAAAGGCGGGAATACTCTAGTAAGATTTCCAGCGCGAGTTGCTGTCCGAGTCGTGGTGTAGGTGCATACATACCACTGTAAGTCGGACATAGTGATATTTACACCTCTAGTGCTATTAGACCGTAACTCGCGCGAGAAATCTTGCTAGAGTATGCCACTTTGAGGTCAGTGGATTATTTCCTCCTTTAGGTAGCGCTCATGAAGCGCTTCATCTAGTCAAAGATCATGATCTTTGGTCTGGTGAACGCACCTGATATTTTTACGTTTGAAGAAAAAATCAATTTATTTTAATATTGACCAAAGGGCAAAGGCATTGACTAAGGTAGGGAATTAGTCAATGCCAAAGGTTTTGAAATTTGGTATTTCATTGCACAAATGGATACCATCTTAATAGCCATTTATTTTCTTATAATCAAGAAACATTATTAAGATTTCATAACAATCATCTAAAAAACAACTACATACAGGAAATGATGAGAATTATTTCATAAAACTACTTAACTGTTTACATTATATTTACACTTAAAATAGATTATTTCTATGTACAAGGAAAATACTTCTCCTGAACTTCTATCAGAAATCCAGATTTTCTGGCGGTTTATATGACACTTCCTATCAAAATGTATTATAATTTAAGTACGAATATAATACAACAGAATAAATTCTTGCCAGGTATTTCCGATATTTGAAATGAGTATAGTGTCATTCCACCAACTTTCCAATATATTTTTCCTATACAATTTTATGATATATAACAACAATCTTTGTGCAATTTGTTAATGTAAAAGCTGGAATGGCATACTCACAGTAATAACTTCTAGCAATTAGAAGCGAAACGCTACATTACACATGTTTATATAAAAGAAGACAACAAAGCATCCCTATCACCACAAATAAACTAAATTAAAATAATACTGCAACTAATGAAATTTACTTTATACACTAAAGTAAGGTCTTTAGAGAATAACTATTTATTTTTGACAAAGATTATATATAGACACTTTGTTGCCCAAGTAATGCTTACATTGTAGAGTAGGGCGTTAATTTATTGTCCTATCTGTAAAAATTTTTTGTAACCCTTTAAGAGCTGCCTTGTTGGTAATATTTGATGTCATCTATACAGCATATCAATCTTTCCGTGTAGTGTATTGTACGTGTCACCTTTCTATTTACTCCGTAGGAATAGGAGGGTGTTGATCTTAAAGGGTTACTTGTAATAAATAAAGTCTAGTATTATATGGACTTCACTTTAAGCCCTACTATGTATAATTATTTACATACAATTATAATATAATTATTAACAATCTATTAAAAGTAAACATTCTGTGAAACATTAAACAGTGTTCTACTAAAACTCAACTTATACCTTGGTATCGATCATGTCGATATTAATCTTGTAATATACATAAGGATAGTATTCGGACTGTCCGAAGCCCAACCCAGGAATATCTACACTCTGCAAAGTTATATCGTCAATATTAA